ACTCTTCAGACAGGGTTGGACTGGACTGTGGGACATAAAGTGATACTTGTGAGGAGTGTGCCTCTTAGCTCAAGTAGATACAAAAGACTAAATGGGCAGCTTCTGTCTGGAGGTGAGATGGGAAGGCAGAGAGGGTTAGGAGGTGGTTGAATGGACATGGGGAATCAGGGGTGGAGAGGAGGAGTGTGCTGTTACAATACGGGGGAGCAATTAGAGTCACATAACAATGTGTGTATAAATTTTTATATGGGAAAAAATAAAAAAAACGAGGTTATATACAAATAAGAGCTATTATCAGGAAATATATTTAGAGATAATAAAATTTGTTTTTCTTTCTATGGCTGTGATTTTGCTTTCTAATAAATATGGTTTTGCCATTTGTATTCAATAATTTTACTCAAGTAATCAATTTCATTACAGCAAACCTGGATCCTCCTAAAATTTCATAAATCAAGAGTCTCAAAATGGTATCTTATGAAAAAAAGCCAAGTTTTAGGGAGATTTCACACTTCGCTTTCCAGTTGCCGAATTGAGAGACTTGCAGCTTGAATTCTGCATTTTGCATAACATACCTGAATGTTACAAATTTACATTTCTATGCTACTTTACACCTTTCCAAGCTGGTGCAATCCTTTTCTAACTATAACTTTACAAAAATATTTTCTAGGTCACTCATTCATTGTATGATACATTTAAATGATATTAAGATGCAGATAATAATCTTAACTGATATCTAAACACTGCAGTTAATATGTTACTGGTACACAGTGTGTGCTGAATTGTTCTTCTACCCTTTGCTAACCAAATAATAAAACTCTTAAAATATGATCTTCCTAAAATATCTGGAAAATTTGAGGGGAGGATAAGTGGCATTTAGATAAGCATCCCTTCACTGAATAACTGCAGACTTTCTCAGTCGCTTTATATATCTGTTTCAGAAAATGGAACTTCTTAAAAGAGCTTTAATAATGACAACTTTTAAAGCTACCCTTGAGCTACTTCCCAGAAAATTCATTTTTCAACCACTGCTACTGGTCAAACACCAAAAATATAATAATAAAAAGTATCACTTAAGTCTTGATCTCTCCCTAGATAAAGAACACATGTTTAATTACTTTCAGATGACAAAACAAGAGCAAGTTATCTTCATCATAGCTTTGTAAGTCTCCAGTGAGTCAATTAGGAAATTCTGTTTCTGTTTAAAATATTCCATTGGGAGACAAAACGTTTATAGCACTACGGAGTACATTTAAAACAGAACACATTCACAACATGACTGTTGACTGTTTTTGCAAATACTTCCTTACTGAATGCATTGAATAAAAGCAGAATGTACCATGAACTGTGGCAATCTGCTGCTGTAAAGATTACAGCCTTGGAAACCCTATGGGGCTGTTCTACTCTGTCCTATAGGGTCGCTGTGAGTTGGAATTGACTCTACGGCACACAACAATGACAATACCATAAACTGAAAATGGGTGTGGGCACTTATAACTTCATTGTTATCATTCACATAGGGGTAAGAAAGAAAATGAAACACTTTCTCTAGAGACAAAGGATGACTTTATATTTTCTTAATTTCTCACCACAAGGAGCTTTAAAATATTCATTATTTCATACAACCTCTCCATGTTACTTTAACTATGTAATTTTTTTGGTTATCTTTTTGCTAACAAGACTAAATAGGAACAGGTACAGAGAAGCAGAGGGAGATGAAATAATTTGTTTAAAGGGGCCTTACTAATAGGTTGACACGCGATTCTTGGTTATTCTCTCTGCCTAATTGTCCCGTGTTAGAATATCCAGTATCTATCAAGACTCTATCCTGTATCTACATAGCAGTGGGAGAATTCTGGCTACTTGTTACTTTCCTATGTTTAGTTCTACCCATCACCCCTATGTAGCTTTGGTTTTGGTGGTGGGTGGCAGGAGGATGAGCCATTCTTTGACTGAATGGCCTGCACAGCAGAATGAACCCTTGTTGAGGACAGCCTGGTTCAGAATTCCATTGGATTGGGTCTTTCACAATACAAACCAATAATTTGTTTTTCATTAAGGCCAATATTCACAGGGATAAACTTAAATATTAGTGACCTCGCAGAGCCTGCAGTAACAGGGTTTCAGATATAAAATAGCCCTAGCCAAGGAAGGCTGTTGCTAATTTCATTCTTCATCTTAATGGACCTGATCCCTATTATCTTTCTCTTCTTCTACCATAATGCTTCCTTACCCTCCTTCTACAGGTCAGGGCTCTGCTGAATATTACTTTTATGTT